GAAAAAGGCCGTCTTTTTTGTCCGAGGGAGACTTTAATATGTCATTTTGCATTTTCACATAGAAGATCTGAATACTTTCCCTCTATTAAACTATCTATTCACTCCAAAAGAACTATTTCTATATGTATTACTTCAGAAATATTACTGTTCATGATTACTAAAAAATCAATTGAATAAGAGAAAAATAGCACAGCTCGAACTCACCCCATCGAATCCGATGCCAAGGATTGCGCCAACTTTCGACGAACTCCTGTCGGATCCTATGAAATCTGATTGTTTTTCCGATAGGATCCGACGAGATCCAACTGTCGGATTGTTCGTCCTGGAAGCCTTCCCAGGTCGACAAATTAGACAGTAAGATCCATCAAAGATTCTTGTACGATCAGATACGAAATTAGAACAAGATCGTATAAGTTCAGACAAGATCATACGAAAAACCGTACGCAAAATCGTGGTTCACGCAATCTTGCATCAAGACTGACTATAAGTTACGTGTAAGATTCTACAGCGTGATCTTATATGATCAGACAAGATCATATAGTATGATTTATCTGGATTTTGACACACATTTGTATTAGTAGTGGTTCTGTACTTTGATGCCTTAATTATAATTAAAACGGACTTCATATCACCAATAAAACTTTTATTTATAAACCTCATTCTTTTATACATAATCCAAAAGTCATAGTTTCTCAATAAAACGAATAAAACAATAAAAACAAGCACAGGTAATACATAAAAAAAACATAATCGACTAACATACAATAAATACAGCAATAATACGTTTTCTGATAGAAACTAGAGAAGTAAACTTCTCACTATTGATAAATCTAATACATGAAAAAAAAGACGATTGTATCCTCAATCCAGTAAAAGAGTACTATATTACTCCTCTCTTCGTCTTTTTACAAAAAAAGGAAAAAACATTTACTTTCTTTATAATGACAGACGCAAGGTTCTCAGAAGAGGACACAACCGACACTAAAATCTTCTCAAAAAAGTACAGATGACAAAAACTAACATATCCTACACAGACCAAAAATATCAAACAAGACAAATAGAAAAACGAACGACAAGCATAAAAAAAGTAGCAGAACTTACAAAAAGCGAATAAAAGCCACAAAACAAAAACGTACCAACAAAGATGAAAAAAAGGAAAAACCAATTATCTCTCACCACCTATACGAAAACACGATATATTCAATGAAAATATGATTGTTTTTCGAGAACTCTTACCACATTCGCCACCGTACAATCACCAATCAATGAAGAATATTCCGATTGTGCACTTGTTGTCCAGCTTGCATGACTGGACTACCTGATACCACAGACTGCAAACCAACAATACCATGATCAGATTGAGCAGATGTTGGAGCAGAGTGACGTTGAGCACCAACATTTTTCATTAACCGTTTGTGTTTACGACGAGTATCACATAACATTTGTGCCAAAGTCCGTCTGAGGCACGTCCGGAAAAAATCATCAAATCGCACAGGATCAATTTTGAATCGGGCAGAAACCGCATCTAAGACAAAAATTAAAAACTAATTATACAATTCTCACACTGATAGCATGTATCTCAAAACATATCGCTTGAGATAATAAAAAATACCTATACATCTATAGTATAGATATAGAAATATTGAAAAACCTATATCATTTCACATAGTCAAAACAATATATAGACATCTATAATATAGATATGGAAATATTGGAAAACCTATATCTATTGATATAGGCAAAACAATGCATGGAGCTATATAGTACACATATAGAAATATTAAAGAACCTACATCTATTGATATAGTCAAAACCATAATTGTCATCTATATTATGCATATAAAAATATTGAAAAATCTATATTTATTGACATAGTCAAAACAATGTATAGACATCTGTATTATAAATACAGAAATATTAAAGAACGTATATCTATTGATGTAGTCAAAACGATAAGATTCGTCTATATTATGCATCTAGAAATATTAGAAAATCTATATCTATTGATATGGATAATACGATACATGGACATCTATATTTTATATATAGAAATATTAGAATACTTATATGGGAAGCTGTATCTCTACTTATAGTCTAAATAATCGACAGTATGATATAAATAGAGTATGCGTCGAAATATTGAAATAGCGATATCTCGAAAAGGTTATGAAAAGATCTATAGATCGATCAAAACTCTTTGATTACATGTGGCGACTGATTCGAAGTGCAATAATTTATAGAAGTTGCAGTATTTGTTTCGAAGGGCGTTTTAGAAATTTTTGCGCTTGATGGCAATTATGTTTTAGCATACGAAATATTTGCGCAAGGTTGGTTGGTCTTGCATTCGCTGTGTTTTATCAAGGTATGCTTCGTTGAATATATATTAGTTGTATGTGATTCTTAAAGTATTGGAAAAATGTCCACATACCTGTCCATTTAGCCATTCTTGTTGGATCTAATCCAGGTTTATTATAGATTGGATTAGCGATCAAGATTGAATCGCTGAGTTCATCAACTGTAAATAACATTTGTAATATTGTCCTTGCATATTTTTTATAATCAGCTGCCTTGGCAACATTTAATAAATTGATTCCATTAAAAGGCTGCGAAGAAAAATATCATATTAATTTAGAGTAGAAAAGAGATGAATAGAGTGGCATACAACAACTGTTGAATAAGTATTCGAGAGATTTTGATAAGTGGTTATAGCAGGATTAATCTATTAAAGAAGAAACATTGGTTAAATTGAATTGGGGCAATTGAAGGAATTTACTGTATTATCTTGTACACTTTTGGATAAACTTC